TCTTTTTTTTTTTTTTTTTAATAGCCATTGGCCTTTTGTGTGGTTGAACCGTCTAACAGCTTTTCCGGATAGTGGTGGTAGGCAATGCGACCCACAACAGGCGGAGGCTGATTTCCTTCGGTTTGTAAAATAAGTTTTGCATTCGAGTGGATTTGCCAAAAGGCGGCTTGGGTATGTTGATTTCTGACTGTCAGTGTGCGTTTGTTTATTTATTTATTTATTTATTTTGTAAGAATCCCCCTCCAGTGGAATAAGCCGCCTCGTGAGAGCTCTCATTCTTGGATTTTACCTTTTAAAGCGGATGATGATCCAACAGTACAGTGCTCAGTGAACTATTTTCCTTTTAACTCTGATGAGTGGGATTCGCTTTGTAAAGGGTTGAATTTAGGGCTTGAGTTTGCTCGGGGCTTTTTCAGTAACCGTGTAACCAAAGTGACCTTTAATTTGATTCTTCCGATTTTCCCCCTTCCTTAGGTGACTCATCCTCTGTTGTATGTATTAAACCGTGACTCTGCTTAGGTGCTCTTTGGAAGAAAAAAAAATGCCACAAATCAAAGAAAGCAAATTGTCTTTATTTTCTGGTCACTGAAGACAGTTGTGCACATGGCTTTAAAATATGCCTGAATGTTTCTGACTCACAGAATGTGTTTATCAGTTCCATGGAGACCTAGAGGCTTGGCCCCGGCATTGTCCGGGAAAACTTTTGGCTTTGCTTTTACAAGCCGTAAATTGCAGGCTTAAAGTACGAGGAAGACAAGTGCTTCACCCTCTCATTTTAAACAGACATTCTTGACATTTATAAGGATTGCTGTTTATTGTGCTAGGGTAGTGGCAGAATAAATTGTGCTTATTTAGGGGGAGATAAGCTCATAACTTCTCAGGGAGTTAAATTGTCATCACAATGAGTAGAAATCCAGATTTAGTCTTACTTATGATTTTTTTCACACTTTGCAACTTTTTAAAAGAAACATTTTAGGGTTTCTTCTGTGAAATGAGTAAAATACTCGCCTTTAAAATGAGTGGGTACCATTTGATTTATGCTATGCTATTCATAGATAAATTGCATTGAGTTTATTTCTTGATAGATGTATACAGAGTTGCTACTTTAGTATGCAGTTTCACAAAGTCTGTTAAGATGGTTGGAACTTGTTTCCATATAAGTATGTGCAGAATCAAATTGTGTGATATTCTTCTGCAGTATTGATTTTGATGCTTACCTAGCATTGGTGCTGCAATTCTGTGCATATTTGGAAACTCTCATAAACTCACTAGGACTAACTTCTGAATCAACTGGCTGTAAGGCTGTTTTTCCAGTGAGGCTACAATAGGCTTTTTTGTATCACCTGTGCATTTATATTTCATGTAAGTTTCAAGGTTTGAGCCTTGCCGATGAAAATGCACTATTAAGTCTATTCAGTTGCTTGTGCGCACCTGCTCTCTTCTTGTGACACCATGGGTTTGGATTGTTTGGGGTGATCAGATTTACTTGAATTTCCTGTTAATTCCAAAGGAGATCCCAGCATATTTGTCCTTCAAACATCCGGTGAGATTTGAGCTGAACTGAGAAAATGCACCCTTGCCCTAGCGTTCTGTGTGAATCTAGCCAGTGTTTTGAACCCACTGTAACTAGAACACCAAGCTGGCCTTACCTTCAGTGATACTGAATGCATTGTCTGGCTCTTGCTTTAGCCTGCTTCTGTTAAACGTGGGCTGCTCTGATTTGTTGATACAGTTTCAGTATTGTACTCCAGTTTTCCACTTTTCTCCTGCCCCCTCCCCCCTCTTTTTTTTTTGCTTTTGAGGACAAAGTTAAACAACCTGAATTTTTGCAACGATGGCGGTGAATTTATTGACAATGTTAAAAGTGAAATATGTCTACCACATGAAGTTCTTTCAGCTGTAGTTGTAAAAATATAGGTTCAAATCAAAACCATTTTCATGAACATAGAAACCGTACCTTGCTATTTAGGTGTATTTGTTTCTCTGAGTTGAGAAGCCGCATTTCTCTAAGAAAGCTCTGGTGACTTTTCCTGGACTTAAATGTATTTTAATCATGTTCTCCAGAACTGTAGAAATACTGGCTGGGAATTGTAATCTATCTCAACTCACCAAGAAAACATGGATTAAATAAGGCTGTTTCAGGCTAACTGCACTAATAATTTAAATGTCTTTTTTTCCCATCAAGGGAGATTGGGTTGCATAGGCTGTAAGCTCCAACATACATGGGTGTTATTCTCTAAGCATATGTCTCTTGTACATTTAGTGACTCACTTGGGATTTTTTTCCCTTGTCCTCCACTGAATGAAAAAGATGTATGCAGGGGTGGGGTTCTGGCCCCCAGATGCAGCTTTCTGACTAATCTCATCACCTGGCAAGAGTTTTGCTTAGCTTGCCAAGATTCCAAAGAGCTGTCATGAAATTCCATTTTCATCTGCGTATACAGTCATTGTCAGACTGTTCTCTTACTGCATCCACCCCAAATGCATATCTTGGGGGGGGGGGGTTTGGTAACGTCAGCCCTTCAAGATAGGCTGGTTTAAGAAATAGAAACAGAAGCGATTCCAGGAATGCTCTTTGCTATTGTAGG